CTTCCCCAGAGCGGCATTTGTCCCACTTGCTGAACCTATACACGCCTGGTATGATCACAGAGTCTATGGCTCTCACTGGGCTTCACTCTTGGCATGACACCCATTCTGGTTTTGACGGATATGACTCAGTCTGCGCTCCACCTGTTCCTCCCTCCTCCTCCCTCGCACCACTTGTGACCGCCTGCTCCTACTCTGTCTGCTACCTCTACAACTTTGTGTTTCCCAGCATGCCAGATATTTGGAATCAATAGTATGTATGTTTCTCAGACTGGCTTCTTTCACTTCCTAAAAGTGTTTCAGGCTCCTCCATGTCTGCATACAGCTGGACGGCTCATTTGTTTCTTCAGTGTTAAATAATACCCCAGTTATAGACGAATGAACCACAGCATGGCCGTTCACCTACCGAAGGGTATCTTGGTTGCTTTCAGATTTTGGTGATTAGGTACACATCTGTGCAGCAGTTTGTGTGGATATGTTTTCAACTCACTTGGTGAAGTTCCAAGGAGCACGGCTGCTGGACTTGTACAGTAAGATTATGTTTCGTTCTGTAAGGAGCTGCTGCACTGTCTTCCAAAGTGGCTGCACTGGTTTTGCATTCCCATGAGCAGTGGCTGAGAGTTTCTGGTGATCCACATCCTTGCCAGCTTTGGTGTTGTCAGTTTTATTGACCATTCTAATAGGTAGGGTCATTAGAATAGGTATTTATTTTATTGTTGTCCTAATGTGCAATTCCTTAATGACACACGATGTTGAGCATATTTTCATGTATCTACTTGCCACTTTTTAAATTTTATTTTATTTTTTTTGGTACTGGGGATGGAACTCGGGACCTTGTGCTTGCAAGGCAGGCGGCGGAACCACTGAGCTAACTCCCCGGCCCTGCCACCTGATTCTTTGGAGAGGTATGTCATTTGCATATCTTCTTTGGCTGATTCAGGTATTTTGCCCATTTTTATATGGGTTTATTTGTTTTCTAATTGCTAAAAATGTGAGATAAAATGGATGACACTGGCTTTTCTACAGGGCATCTGATGCTACTCACAACACGACAGCCACTGCGTAACATCATAGATTTTAGAGTTCAGAACTTTTAGAAATCTGTTGAGCTGGGCATGGGGTGCACACCCGTAATCCCAACACTTGGGAGGCGAGGAAGGTTGGCCAGAGGAAGATAGCTACTCAAAGATTAGTTCAGATAAGAGCTGAGTAAGGGTCTTGATTAGGAAGGCAGCCACATAGAAGGAGAAAGTGACTGTGATTTGAAACAAGAACCCAACAGGACATCCTGATCTCCTGAGTGTATGGGATTGGAGATACAGAGATGTTGGATATGAGCAAGACTGAAATATGGCAAGTAATGCCAGCAGGTGAATCTGCAAAGGGAGGAGGAACAAGTTTATCAGCAAAAATTATTAAGTTGGTTTGAGGCCAGCCTGGCTTACAGAGACAGAGAGTTCAAAGTTAGCCAGGTCTTCATAATGAGAACCTGTCTCAAAACCAAAAACCAAAAACATATGAGCCAAGTAAATCTCTCTTCCTTTAAAAACAAACACAAAAATAAAAAAAGTTGTACTGGAGCACAGCCACGTGCAGCCCATGGCTGCTGTCACGATACAACAGCATAGCAGAGTGATTGTGCCACCTGTGCGGACCGTATGTACGGCTGTGTCTGTACACAGCGGACCTTCATAGACAGTTTCACAATGCTGGCTTAGCTGCAAGTCCCAGTCTGTATTCACTAGTCAAACCCTGAGCAAGTTCCTTCACCCATGTCTCAATTTCTCCACATGCATAATGGGAATAATAATTTTTATCACTAAGAGTTTAGAATTACAATATTTGAAAAGGGCTTAAAATGCTTGGTGCACAGTAAGTATAATACACTTGGAGGAATTTAACCACTTAAACTTGAATTAAGCGAGGTGTGCTGGTACAGTCCTGTTATCCCAACTACTTGGGAGGCTGAGGCCGGGGGGTTTTGTGCTTGAGGTCAGCAAAGTCAACATAGTCTAGAGAGACCCCAGCTCAAACAAAGGAAAAAAAAAAAGAAGGAAAAAAGGTGTTAAAATTTAATCAATCAAACATTGAAGTAAAATTATTATTATTATCATTTTCTTTGGTTTTTTTGAGACAGGGTCTCACTATGTAGTTGAGACTGACCTAGAACTCACTATGTAGCCCAGGCTGGTCTTGAACTCACAGCGATCCTCCTGCCTCAGCCTCCCGAGTGCTGGGATTACAGGCATGCGCCACCATGCCCGGCAAAGTAAAATTATTTTTTACTATATAAAATTACTTTTATGGCTGGAATAAAAACTTAAAAGTGAAACCTGGATTTAAAAAAAAATCTAGGACTTCTAATCTAGCACTTTAGTAAACTAAATATTACCCATGTAACTGTTAGCACCTAGGGGATGATGGCGTAGGCTCTTTGAAGAATTCTTTGGCCTAGATCAAAGCTCTCTAGGGTCAGCTAGGCCTAGCAGAACTCGCCTGTAAATTCCAGGGCTTGGGGGCTGAGGTGGAGGATCCCAAGTTTGAGTACAGCTGGGACAACATAACAATTTAGTGAGACCCTATATCAAAATAAAAAAAAAAAGGGCCTGAGGATGCAGCTCAGCGTGAAGGCCTTGGGTTCAGTCTCCAGCAGTGAGGAACAGGGGTGGCTCTCTCGGGTTTATAAGCCAGACTTCTCTAAAACCCAGAGGCAATGTTGTAAAAGGGGCTGGCAGCTGGAGTTCCACCTGGAACTTTGACTTCCTTAGATGTGTGATTTTGGACAAGTCTTACTATCTGCAATGCAGGCTATTAATATCTATTTCCTAGGGGCGCTGTGAAGAGTACAAGTACTAATGCACACAAAGTATTTAGTGCAACACCTGCATTTTAATAAGCATTCCATAAATAACAGTTGTTATTACCATTCTCCCAACAGCTGGGCACGCAATCAATGGTAATCAGTTGCTGTGGAGTAATGCTTGGAGACGTTCTCTGCTTGCCCTGACATTTTTTTTTTCATTTTTTCCTTTTATTGAGTTTATTGGTACATTTTAGGTATACAGTACAGTCACATTCATAATTGGGATCTTGTACCTTTACATGGCAGGTCTTGGTTCTCATTTTTCCCCCTTGTTCCTGCCCTCCCTTCGCCCCCTCCTCCCTTTCCCATTTACAAACACTTCATTTCCATTTTTTCATTTTCTCATATTTTTTTCTTTTCCCTTATTCCCTTTTCCCTTTCCCCTGACATTCTATCATATCACGTTTCAGTTAAACATTGCTTTCTCCAGAGATCTTTTTTTTTGAAATGCGCAAATCCTAACATTCCTCCTTCCTCGGCGTGGTTTAGTTTACTAGGTTCTAGGCATTTTCCTTACTATGGGAGCAGGGGAGAGTAACAAGGGTTGAGGTTCGTGATCTCCAGGAGAAAGAGAGGGAGAGATGAGGGCTTCTGAGAGATGGCGAAAGGGTAAGGAAGAGCAGCAGTGTTCCACAGCGGCTTACTCCGCCATCCAGGGAAGAATTCACTCAGCCACGCCCCCGTAGGATCCCGGAGAGTCCTAGGAAATCCTCTGGGTGTCAGGGAAACGAGCCTGCCCCGGAGCGCCCCCTGCTGTCCACCGTCTTCTCTCCCGCATCCAACAACAGCTCACTTGTACCTGTCTGGCGCCGCCCCATCCTACCTCACCCGCACCAGAGCTCCTTTGGATTTGGACCCCGGTTAGATACCCAGGGGCTAGGGCTTATTTCCCAGTGACCTTGCGGTTTGACCCCCCCAGCCAGTTCTCTAGCAGATGGTGGCGCCGGAGGCTTGGGCTCTCAATCCGTGTTTAAAGCAATTCGTCCCTCAAATCTGTGCTCTCCCAGCCTGGGGCGGTGGGAACAGGCCACTGTGACCTTGGCCCAGTGGGGGAGCAGGAAGGAAGGGACCGAAGTGGCTCACGGTGCACCTTCCCCGCGCGATGGCCCCTGCGGTCCCGGCCTGCGCTGGACCCCATTTCCGTCCCCGGAACTTGTCATCATCCCGCGCTACTCCCCCGCGCAGAGGAGCAGAGGGTCCACGGGACCGGGACGCTGCCCTGCGGGGACAAGCTGGAAGTGGCAGGCCTGGGAAGCTGCAGAAGGCCAGAGTTGAGCCCAGAAAACCTTGTGTTAGGACCTTTCTCTTACCTGAGCTTGGGAAGATAAATCAGAGGGGGGTTAGAGGGGACACTGAGGCCCACAAAGGGCAGGGAACACTCTTCGGTCTCAGTGCGCCTCCAGAGAAGAGCCAGAAGGTGCTGGGCACAGAATTCCGCATCCCTGGCTTCGCTCCAAATCCCAGAAGTCTCTCTTAGCTCTATTCTCCCCTAGCGCCCTAGGGTCCCTTCAGAGCGCAGCCGACCTTGGGACTTCCATTTTTAGGCGCTCTGCCCCTTTAAACCTCGCGGCTCCTCCCATCGCGTCTACGCCGACGCCACCGGAGGCCCCGCCCCCACG